TATATTTAAGCTCTGGTTTTGCATTATTTGGTGGATTAGACATAAAAACTTGCAGTAGCAATTGCTGCTTTGGAGGGCCCCAGGGTGCCTTCTGCACTGCCCCATCCAGATGTGCTGGTCCCACTGCTTGGTCACAGCTGAACAACATGTGGCTGCAAACTGCTGCTGCCTTCCTCAAAGGTGCAAAATTGGACATCTTTGCATTTGTAAGGTCTGTTTTTTCCCCAAAATCTGTGAGAATATCATTACCTTTTACTCCTCCTCTCCATGAATGAGGTGGATGGGCAGTGTGACTGTTTTGGCCTTGTTTCCTCAGCATACCCAGTTCAGAACTAAGCTGTTCATAGCTTGCTGCAGTGTGTAAATTGGTGATTTAGAGGGAGTGTGTGTGGATGATTGGGGCTGTTGGGCTGCAATAAATGCACCGGGCAGATAATCTTCTCAGCAGTGCACTTCCACATTGCATGGTCTTATCTCATAGGAAAGTAAAGTGTCATAAAACTTTGAAGTGGTGAAGCAAATGCCAGTGTTCATCACATGCAAAACAGATGGAGGCAGGTTCTAGAGGCTGTGGCCACCCATGGCCAATTGCAGTTGGCATATCCATAAATACCAGGTTTTATGGTGGCTCACTAACCTCCTAAGTCAACCCGACGTTAGAGGGTTTGTGATGGAGTTGAGCATCCTAAGGATCAAAGGCAAGAAATATGTTGTTTGCTTATTTTCAAGGGGCTACTTCACCAGATGAGGGGGTTGGGCAGCTAAATATGTCCTCCATCAAGAAACCCAACCCCGTCACGGTTGGGCAACCCCCAGTGTGCTGGTGGTTGAGTCACGTCTCACATGCCTGTCTCTGAGCTGACCTGACCCTGCTACTGCTCATCTCATGAAATCATTTTTTCCAGATAAGTTGCTGTGGATGATTGATTGCCCACTACATTAATCCTTCTCTTCCTTCATGCCTGACCCCTGTTTATAATACCAACCTCTCTGCTTGGAAATTCATTATGCTGCCCTGGCTATTAGTGGAGATAAGAAACAGTTTTGGAAGAGGTGCTGGCCAGACTAGCAGCTCTCAGAACATTTATGAGCAGCTACGATTGCCAGAGCTCAGGGTGATGTTTCCCAGTTACCTCATTTGGGCAGCCAGTAAGTGCATCCTCTGTGTTAATGAGAGCAGCAACAGCATCACCTGCCTATGTCTGACTTCTCTTATGGACCTGCTGCATTCTCCTCTAATTGCAAGTCAATTTCATAGAATCATAGAATGGTTTGGGTTGGAAGGAGCCTTAAAGGTCATCTAGATCCAACACTCCTGCCATGGGCAAGGACACCTCCAGCTGGACCAGGATGCTCAGAGCCCCATCCAACCTGGCCTTAAATGCTTCCCTGGGCAACCTGGGCCAGTGTCTCACCACCCTCACAGTGAAGAATTCCCATCTAAGGGAAAGGAGGGGAAATGGATTTGCAGTGATAAATATTTTAATAAGGAAAACAGGCTTGAATTCCATTGTTTCTGGCTCACTGTGGCTTGGGGGGTATTGCACGATGCTGCGTGGTGGAAACACAACTTGGAGCTTCCAAACCCAGTTGCTCAACTATTAGCTGTTGTCCTGCTGCATTTTTTGACAGGCAGCAGAAGGGGAATAACCAGTTGTTATACCCAGCAGTAGGGGAAGATAAGCTCCCAAATGCCCTTAGCTTGGGCTGGTTTTTGGGTGGAAGAGCTGTTTCTCTGATTGTTGCTTGCAAAAGAGACCCAGGCTGAAGAAAGCATCTAGCACAGCAGCAGGGCTGACCATGCCTGGGCTCTCACCTCACTTGGTGTTTTTTCCAAAATAATTGGGATTTCTTGTGCCTTTCATGGCTGTAGCTGGGAAGTTCCTATCACTGCCTGCCATGGAGGGAGGCATTACATTTTTCTGCTGGACTTATTTGATTTAAATTTTTTAATCCTTCACAGTTGTTTTTTTTTGTTTGGGTCTTTTTTTTTTTATTATTATTCCTTTTAAATCTAGTAGCTCTGCATTACTACATTTGCAGAAGACCCCTCCTGTGGAGGCTGAATATAACTAGTTGGTGGCAGGAAGCTTTCCTTGCAGTGCATAAGCCATCCCTGAGAACTGACAAGTGGTTTGACACTCCTAAAGCTGGAAAGAAATCAGAAAAGTTGCAGGAAGGGCATGGGTGATGGCAGGGAGGACGTGCAACGAGACCAGTTGAGCAAGACTCTTGCTTCTTAGTCCCAAAGTGATCTCCTCCCTCTGCTCCTGAGGCTTGCCTGGCAAACAAAACTTCAGCTGATGTGCTCAGTGAGGGGCTCAGTTTGGAAAGATAGACCCGGGGGCAGCAGCTTCTTCCCTGGTGCCTTTTGATCCATTCCCAGCCTTTGCCTTGCTTCCAGCCACTGCAGAGGTGGGCTCCCCATCCCTGGAGGGGTTTCAAAGGCGTGTAGGTGTGGTGCTTAGAGACACGGTTTAGTGGTGGCCTGGGCAGTGCTGGGTTAACTGTTGGACTTGATGATCTTAAAGGTCTTTTCCAACCAAAATGATTCTGTGACTCCGTGTTCCTGATGTTCTCTGCATGTTTTGCTGTTAATTCCAAATCCTGCTCTGGTTGGGCATTAGCCCTGACTGCCCTGTGCTGCTGAATATGCTGCTCTGAAATGTCTCCTTGGCCTCCTCCTGCCAGTGCCTGTGGCCATGTCAGGACTCGAGGGGCCTCAGGGATGCAGAGATGTTCCCTTCTCCTGCCACACATGCACAAACTTTCCCCAGCCATCTCAGCACCATGTAGGGGTTTGGGTGCACACTAGAAAAACGCCCCTCCAGCCTGCACCATGGCCTTGCCTGGCTCAGAAACACCATCATTCTAAACCCTAACACCCTTCCTATTTGAAAGTTGCACTTGCTATCCAGGTGGAGATCCCTTAGGAAAAGGGAACATGCTGAAAAACATCCAAGTGACTTGAGCCAGATGCTGGGTTTTTTCCCCAAAGCCAACTATTTGTGACTTGCTGCTGACAGCATGAACTGGTGTTAAGATATTACATTGCAGATGAGCTCATCACTTGGCCTCAAACAAGTTTCAGCCTTGAGTGGCTTTAAAATATTACATGTGGTGGAAGAGAGACAGTGCTGGTGTGGCAGAGAGATTTAGGGAGCAGCTGAGAAAGATATGCATGAAAAAATGTGTACCAGGAGGGAGGGGGGAATACTTCATGTGAAAAATATAAACTCTCCCAGGAGAGAGGAGGAGAAATGCTCCAATTTATTGCTTCTACACTTTAATTTTAGCATAAGAGAAAATTGTCTGAGTTTTAAGATGTTTAAAGGGAAGTGGCAAGATGCTACAGCTGGTCTGAGCCTCAAAGATCCCGGTGTGCTGAGCTCTGTGTGTGCAGGATTACTTCTACCAGGCTCTGAAATGGGCTCTGTGGGTAGTGTCTGGTGTCTGCCACCCATGCCATGTGGCCATGGGCTAAATCCAGCTCCTAATGTTTGCCTAATCTTAATGCTGAGCTCTCCCAGGCTGGTAGGTAACATCCTCACTGCTGTTGGGAGAGGTGTTCTCTCCCTGAATGTTTCCTTTGGGAATCTCCCTGCCCTACATTATCAGCACAGTTTCTATTTCTCCCTTCTTTTCTTCCTGCAAGGGGGCCTGAGCTCCTGAACCTCCCCCTTCTCTGAAGTCTCTGTGGTGACAAAAATATAAGGATGAAGATGGTCTTGAATGTAGGAGTTAGTTTTTTCCAGCCTAATTAAACCCGACCACATGGGAGCAGCCTTGGTGGGCATCCCTGCTGGCCCAGCTCTGTTTCTGGGGAGCCCAGTGCACACCCTTGTCCTACCTCTAGATCTCAACACTGAGATTTATTAATTTTCTTAAAGTGCCAACTTGGCAGAGCCCATGAGATAGATCATAAATCAGTTCAGCTGCTTTATTTTTCAAGCTCTAAGTGTGTTTGCCATCAGTGGCCGGGTGGGTTTTGTGGCTGGCTGGATTTGTTGTCTCGGGATGATTTTTTTTAATGCTCCCAGCAAGAGACAACAGCCCCACATGAGTGGGTTTCTCACTGCCTTGGCCCTGTTTTGCCAAACAAACAATTTGCAGCCAAACCAGTGAAAGCACAGGTTTGAGATGGATGGGCTCCATTCTCCCATCCTGTGGGGTGGCTGGTGAACCTTGCTGCAACGTGTGTCCATCTGAGAGGGTGGCTGTCCTGTCTCCTGATGGGCTGCAGCTGAGGAACAAAACATAGTGGAATTAAAAGATTTTAAGTGAAAGGAGTATCCTATATATAACCCTTCTCCTCCTCGTCCCGGTGCACTAACATATTTCATATAATGATGAGTTCTCTGCCAAAATTCCTCAAATTATTATGTCTAAGGATTGGAAATCCAGAAAATAGTGTTGGAAGGGACCTCAGGAGGTCTGATCCATCCCCAGGGCAGGATTAGCTCCATCTGAATTGTTCCTGACACATCCTTGTCCAGTCTCCAATGGCAGAGCCTCCACCCCTTCCCCAGACAATCTACTCCAGCACTTTATTCTTCCCAGACCCCCCCATTTATCCTCCTGCTGCCCCTGCTGCAATTTTAGGCTCGTTCCCTCCTCCCTGTGCACAGCAGATCCAGAGCACATCTCTGCTATATTTATTCTCCTATTCCAGTTTCATGCTGATCAAGCTGCCACATCTTCCAGAGTCATCTTTGATTTTACTTTGTTGCAAGGATACTGTTCTCTGGGTGGATGTAGGGCTTGTGAGTGGCATGAGGGGGTTGATCCTGCAGCACCTTTGCAGAGCAGATAAAGCCCAGACAGCAGCTTTCCCCAGGGCATTGTCCTCATCTGTCCCTGCCTTGTGTTGGGTGGTGGTGGGGATCATTTCCTCCTTGGCTTCTTCATGGGAACCACCAATGTTGGCTGATGTTAAGGATGACATTAGCACTGGCTTTTGTAGCACATCTGATCTTGCTGCTTTGTCCTGTTTTCTGCAGGATTTAGGAATGGAGTCCACCTCTCTGGATGATGTCCTCTATCGATACGCCAGCTTTCGAAACCTGGTGGATCCCATCACTCATGACTTGATCATCAGCCTTGCTAGATACATCCACTGCCCCAAGCCGGTAGGTACCATGGTCTTGTCACACCTCCAGCACTGCTGGCTTGGGAAGCTGCTCTGCTGGGAACATGGAGCTTCCCTCTGAGTTCTTGGGAAAAAGTTTCCTGGTTTCTGCAGTGCTTGTGTGTCTTTGGATGGAGGGGACTGCTCAGACACCATGGTTTGATTGCACAGTTTGACCACGTGACACTTCCCTGATGTTCATACTTTGGCTGTCAGCACTTTGTTTTGCAAATGGTTTCTGCTTTCTGCCCCTTTGTGTGTCTGTGCTCAAGACCAAACCCCATCAGGAACACGTTCTGCCTCGCAAGGGTAACAGGCTATTCCTCACCCTCATGTGATATTTATCTTGACCCCAAGAGATGAGAGAGTCCTTGGCTGTGCTTTCAAGGCCAGGTTTCCAAAAATGTGCAGCCTCCATGGGCTGCTGCTGGGATTCTGCCATTGGTAGGTTTCTCTGCCAGTACAACCCCAGGCAGATGTGGGCTTTTCAAACTGTTGGCCCCATCTGCTCACTGGCAGCCACAGCTGCATTAGGGCTTTTGAAAATCTCTGCCTGGCTCCCTCCCTTCTCTTCCATGGTAAATGTGGCTTTGCGTGGTGGCCACTGGCTGTTTGGCTCATTAGGGTTCCTTTCCCCAGACTTTCTTTTAAATAAGCAGTGTTGTCTGTGTCTGTTTGGCAGAGCAACTTAGGCTCAGAGAGGTGTGAAATGTCTGAGCTCTCTAAACATGCAAGAGGGGAAGAGAGAAGACCAAACACTACCAGAGATCACAGGAGATGTAGGTAACATCAGATCTCGAGGGATTTTTGATCTCTCAGCCCTCCTGTGCTGCAGTTTCCCAACTGTAATTCTGGGAGGATGGCACAGCTCTGCTAAAACATTGTGATGTGTCCTAGAGCTATAGTCATGGTCCGAGTGTGGTGGGGAAGCTGAAGGCTCATTTATCATGGTTGTGTTTTTCTTCTGTGCTGCACATTGCTGCTCAGGAATTATTTTTTTAAAAACATGTGAATTGTAGAAAGTGATGTGTTCCCAAAGGAGGGTTTGCAGAGCTTATTGATGAGACATCTTCAGCATAACAGCTTCCCTGGGAGTGTGGGAGCTGTGTGGCTTCCCTGAACTTGCTTTCTGGAACTAATAGGCTACCAAGAAGTTCACTTGGAGCAAAAAGGAAGCCCTTCCACCCCTGTAACCTGTGTTTGGCTCTGGTCACGCTTGCAGATGTGACAGAGCTTTGTTTGAGAGCCACTAGGAACCACCTCCCAGGCCATGTTATTCCCAACACTCTCCTTCCTCATCCTCCAAACCCTTCCCATGCCTTATTGTCCTTGGGAATGAGCTGCCTGGAGCACTGCCATGGCATCAATCATCCAGGTTCATTGCAGCACATAAGACTTGGAATGCTGTCATCACCTGGAGCAGGGAGGAGAGGTACAAATGCCCCAGGCAGGGCCTGTGTCTGGTGTTTGTGGGTCCATCCCCTGTGAAACAGTGGGCTGCAGCCCCTCCTGGGGGAATCAGCCCTGCCCTTGTCCCAGGATTGTCACACACACAGACAGACACACACCTGAGAGAGACCCAGCTCCTGTTGGGGATCACACAGTGATCCTCGGATATTTTTCAGGCATTCCGGGAGGGAATGTGTGTGTCTCCCAGCAGGTCCCAGCAAGCCCATCAGACCTCTGAATTCCTGCCAAGAGCACACTTGTTGCACTCTGTATCCTTGGATTTTGTTGGGTAGGGGGTTTGTTTGTTTTTCCCTCCTGGAGACAGCAAACTCAGAGCTCTCTGTTCTCATCTCTGCTGCTGAACTGCAAGGCTGAACCCCTCTTGTGCCTCTGTTTGACTTGCACGTGGCATTTTCAAACTCTTTTTTGGAAGGGACCATCCACAGGTGTGATGTGCCCACTGTGATTGGGCAGGGGCTGGGCTGGCCCTGGAGGCATTGCTGTCCTGTACTTACTGCTAATAATGGGGGTTTAATTTTCTTTAGAGTCTGTGAAGTTCAGTGCTGTTTCTTGAGGGTGTTTGACTTGATAATAGCCTCCTCCACTGCTAAAAAATGAGGGGAAATTGCTTTTTTTGATCTATTTAAATACTTCTCTAATGTTGCTGAGGAAAAGCTGTGGTGATGCTTTAGGTGTGTCTGCCTGGGCTCTGGTGTGAAACTGGCTCTGGAAGTGCTTCATAAAACTCTCTGCACTCAATAAACCATGTTGGGAAGGGTGGGGTTGGCACAGCAGTGTGCAAACACAGCCTGGGCACTTCAGGGACCCAAATCTCCATCCCTAGACCCAGGATGGATGTCCCATGTCCTACAGCATGAGCTCAAGCTACAGGCACAGCTAAGCCCATGTAAGGATACCAGTTTATCCCTTTCCTTCTGGAGAATAGGATCCTTTCCTCTCTTCTCCCTATGGGCAATGAGATGGGAAACTGGAGAAACCTATTTTGATGGGCATGTTTCCAGGCAGAGGCCCCGTCCCCCCGCTGAGGTTCCCCTTTCCAGAGCATCGTGACTAAGCTGGTTTCTCCTCCACATTCTGCCTTGGGAGAGCAGCATTGAGCCCTGGCCAAGTGTGTGCTCTGCACTCATAAAAATCACCCCAGGCTGCTGATGCAACGGGGAACTGCTGAGTTTCTGCTTTTGCATGTCTGCCTGCATGGGCATTTTGGCACTAAAGCCTCTGATGGGGTTGGTGCCAGTGTAAGCAGAGAGATGCAACCCCCTCGTACTGAATCATGGGCTCCTGGCAAACCATGCTGGCAAAACAAGCAATAGCCAACCCAGACACCACCAGTCCCTGCAGCACTGAGGTTCTTCTGCATGAGATGCTGCTCCTTGGGTGCATTTGGTCCTCTCCCCCTGCTTTGCACAGCTTGGGGCTTGCACCACGCTGTGCAGTTGTTTTGGTGCTGGTGCAAGTGGCAGCTTCTCTGGGCCAGATGTCCCTTAGGAGGCTGCTGCTGGCAGGTGGTGAGTGTTGGCATGAGAGCAGGGAAACTGTCACCCTACTGTGCCCTGCAGGGCCACCCCTTTCCAGAACAAGGTGCCAGGAGCAGGAGGCAGCTGGTGCCATCAGCCCCTGGGACTCTGTCTGTCCCCAGGGACCACTGGGGACAAAATGCTTTGGCAAAGCCATGTGGTGTGGGACAGAGCTGCCCTCTATCCCTCCTGCAGCCACTCAGGTTTCCAGCAGGAGCTGTTCCAGGCAAAGGAGCTGAAAACACAAGCACGTAAGGAGCAAAGGGCCCCCGTAAGAATATCTGGCCATGAACTATTGGAAAATTAAACTGGTTTCTTTTTCCACACACCAGAGCCACATGTATGGGTGACTGATGACTGTGATAGGGGGTGAGTCAAGTTTTCCTCCAGTTTGAGGACTTGTTGAATGTGGGATAAGCACTGAGTGGAGGCAGGGGAGGGGAAAAGTAAAGCCTTGAGCAGAGGCTGGGTTTTTCCCTTGTGACTTTGAAGTGTTTGATTGCACCAGCTCTTACCATCCTGGAGATGTACCATGGAAGCTCCACCAGCCCCTGAAGGCTGCCCAGAGTAAATCCAAAGGGAGATTTTGGCCTTACTGATCCCCATCCTGTTGTTTTCCAGGGAGGTAGGCTTTTCTGCCAGTCGATGGCCAGGGAAGGGTGACAAAACCCTGCCCCAAAGTCCAGCTTTGCCTGTCTAATCTTCTGTCAGTGCCTGCACTTCTGGGGCTGCAGCTCCACTAGGAAGGCAGGTGAAAGATGAAACCCCCTTTGCATGTAGGGGGCTGGATACAGGCAAACATCCCAGCATGGAAGCTGTGCATGGCAGGTGATGGGGTCCTCAGCCTCTTCTTGTAGTGTTTAAAGGTACATGGTGACAGCCATGGGCTGGGAGGACATTTAAAATCTCTTCTAAGAAATTGATGTGGCTGGAGAGACGACGTGCTGGGACTGGAGGCAAAATGGATTTTGCCCCTGTAGCTCTGGAGAGAGTGATCTATTTTCTTGTTCACTCTGTCTCATTTGAGAAATATATGCTTAGCCACATCTCTGGCTCAGATGTCTTCCTCTGTGTGAGCTCTAAATTGATCAGGTTTGGAGTGTGGGTTTGATTATGTGAATTGTCAACCATGCAAACAAGAAATCACAGAAAGTAAAAGTAGTTATTGTGACCTAGATGAAATAATCTCTTTCAAACCCTTCTTCAGCCCCATGGATTTAGGATTTAACTCACAGATGATTTTGAATTTTTATGCCTTCCATTTTTAAAATGTGTTATATCTGATGGAGCTACGTTGAAGCTAAGATGAGCAATTTTCCTCTTAGTTACTGCCCTGTGTGCTGTGACATGTGGCTAAAACCATATGAATTAACTCGGTTTATAGAGGACAAATGTAATGAGGACACTGTGACCACCAGCCCAGTGCCTGTATCCCCAAACTATGCACATAATCCAGCTCCTCTTCCACGCCTCTTGTTATTTGATCTAGAATTCAAGTTGTCACACTCATTTTATAGCAGTATGAGCTGAGTTTCAGGTACAAAGTGATGGTGCGTTGAGGGACACTGAGGCACAGTCTGTTGGGTGAGCTTGTCAGTCTCCACGACTTTCTTACCTTTCCCTTTTGCCATTAGATGTGCAAGGAAAAGGCACCTCACACGTTCTCTGGCAAAGCTCTCAGATTCCAGATGCAAAGTGCTATGAGAGAATTATTTGCTCTTTGCTGTAAGTAATATCACAAAAGGAAGATGGTTTCTAAATGAAAGCCCTCGAAACCCCCAAAAACCTGATACAAAAGCAAAGGGGAGGATGGGGATTCAATTAAGTCAACTGTATTCTGTATTAATGGGTCCTTGTATTTTGCTGGTGTTGCTCCAAGTTTGAAGATCCCTGTTTGTGGATATTAAGACATCTGGAGCACTTTGAGATATCCTGCAGGGTGAAACAGGCTGTGAAGCTCAGACCCAACTAGAGAGAACTCTGATTCTTTCCCAACTTAATGTGTCATGTCCTC